GCTGCAAATTTCCCCCCTCCACTCTCACTGAATTCCACTGAGGCTTTTTTTTTCTGCGGGAGCATTAGAGCAGTACTCTACTAAACATAGGCAGCTGAAGACTTCACAGGACTCGGGTTGGCCCCCTGCAATGACCTCCAGCCAGCTCCTGATGGAAATCTAACCAAGCATCACGCCCAATTTGAGGCTCCAGAGTAAACAAACAGGAGTGCTCTTCAAAGGCACAAGCCACTAACAGACAGAAGAGTCTATCTGTAGCTTTATTCACTCAGCGCATTGTAACAGCACAGGCCTGGCTAACAACATACACAAGTTGATAATATAGTACAACATAAAATGATGTTATCAGACCGCCAGATTTTGTGGTGGGGAGGGAAAGAGTTGCTGCCCAGCCTCAATTCATGAAAATCTGATTTTCTCTATTTTGAAGAAAATTACATTTTCTTGAATTGTGTGCTTTTTAAACATCTGTGGAGGGAAATGAAATGCACTTAATTATAGTAGTATAATAAACAAGATCAGATGATACCCACTTCTCTTTGGCTAATCAAATGTGAGATACTTCTTTTTTTTTTTTTTTGAATCAAAATTAGATTAATGTTGCAGTTGTAGCCAAGAAAAATGAAATCTTATCCATTAATAGGACCAGGAAGTTAAACCCCAATGCTAAGGTACACCATTCCTCCAATTCTGGCCATAAGCTGACCAGTGTTGTCTGAGATACAAGCTGTGTATATGACCTGTGAGAAAATTTGCACGTTTGTGGATAAATTGACAAGTCAAAGTTCTTTTTGAAAAAGTCTTAATATATTTAATAATATATTTTTATTATTTACTGTCCAGCGGTTTTTTTTTTTAATATTTTTGTTTAAAAGCTTTGAGTGGATCTTCCTTTGTGTCCTTGTCTTTGTATGTGTGAGTCACATTGGTGCTGCAATTTACATTCTTCTTTTGACTTCACTTTATGGGCAATGCACAAAAATGCAACAGTGCGTTCGCAAAGGTAAAGAAGAAGAAGAAGAAGAAGAAGACAGCTAGCAAGCAAATGTGGATGTAAACAATACATGATTTATCATGAGGAAGGAAACTTCATTTTTAACATGGGAGTGGTATTGATGTTCTCATCAAATTTTCATTTTCCAAACATCAAGTTGATGTATGCTGACACTTGGAAGTATTGTCTGAAACACTTGATCTGCTCTAATCCAAATTAAAATCTTGACCAAAATCTCACCCACTGATCATATGCCAAGGGTCTGTCTACCATCCTTTACCCAAATCTGTTGTTAACTCTTTTCTGATATCTTGTCAGCAAACAAAAACCTTTGTCCAATAGTGTTGGCGATGGTATCTGTGGGTACTGCTTGTAAATTTATGTTTAAATATAGTGTTTCTACCTCTTTTTTGATGAGGTTGGGTTGCAGTGTAGCTGTTGTTCAGACAGGACCTCTGGATATTATTGCAGCTTAATTCAGGCTTAATTGACAATACCAGGTTTACGCATTAATCTTTATGCTTTTAATTCACCTCTCTTTGGCCAGGCTAGTGTTCTCTCCTCTGCACTCACTTGTCCTCTAAATCACTCCCCTCAGTCAAGCGGGTGAGCTTAATATCCTGCCCTGTCAATAGCCTGTGAGAGGAGGGAGACTTTATGTTCCTTAGGTCTCATGACAGGCATTCTGAAATGCTGGCCTGAGGGCAGGAGCTCAGACTCATTCTGCAATGGCTGGTCGGGACAGTCTTGAATAGTATTGGCTTTCCTCAGTGCCAGCCTACACTGTAATTGTAACTGTAACTGTTACACTGCACTTGCGAGAGTTATGCCTCACTTAACCCAATTATCTTATTTGTCGATTTTACACAGCTCTTAAGGTTTTCAGACTGAACAAGTTAAAGTTTTCCACACAAGGCTACAATACACAATACTACTGTAAAACAGGCTCAGTAAATGTTCTGCACAGAAGTCGACGCAGTACAAAGTCTGCAGCTTTGACACTTAGGATAAGGGTGCATGTTCAGTCTCCTACCAACAGTCACTCAGAATTGGTTTCCTTTAACCACTGGCGCGGTCTTCTAACCATACCTAAGTAGTTTAAGTTGTATAAACATGATCATACCTGCACCACAGGGAAGCAGATGAGGAAACACCCAGGAGTCATGTTGTTATGGAAGGCACTGACAAATGACCCCCTTTGTCAGTTATGTACGAAGACCTCTTGCCCTGATTTTCCTCAAGTGTTCAGTAGTGCTCTCAAAGTCCCAAATTTTCTCCCAGCTCACTGGTGATGTTTTGAAACTGAATTGTGTGTAAGTACTTTGCTGAAACAATGAAAAATCAATAGCAATGGAAAAAATATCTGGTGATGTTTTAATGTAGTTTTCTTATTGTCAACAAATTCCACGGAAAGGCGTAAACCAACAATGAACTGATCCTGTTAACAAGTATTGTCTGCGTAGCCTCTGTACCATCAACATCCATTGTTATTGTTGCATTGGTGGATATGTTACTTTATTATAATGAACCTGGGCAGTTTATTTTGAGTTGATCCCACATGCACCTTCCTGCTACTGTAAAATCTGCAGCTGAAAATGAAAATGAAAATGAAAGCCCTTTTTACACTGGTCAAAAAAACAGCTAAGATCCACTAACGTCTGGCTTTTGTCAGCAATGGAAAAGCGTACAATCGGCATTTAGTCCTGTACCAAATGACGTGGGTATTTATCAGGTCCGGCTCTGATTTGCAATGATATAAACACAACGCCTGGGTGAACATGCTAATTTTCACCCCTTTCCAGTGCTGTGATATCTTTCAGAGCACAAATACTGTAAATAGAACTTTCACCTGCCCAGCACGGTGCAGTTAAACCTAAAAAACACAGCAGCTGCACTGCACTCTGTAATGAAGGAGTGACCACAGCCCCAAAATAACTTTAAAAACACACAATCACCGATCAAGGTGTCTCACACGGAGGCTTTGACACTTACAGGACCACCAACCCGGAGATGAGATGCGACAGATCCATTTTGCCAGTCTGGGCGGCAGCTAGCAGCTCATTCTTTTCTCTCCTGCATCTGTGTGTGTGTGTGTGTGTGTTCTGTCACTGCATGTGATGACCTGCAGTTGTGTGTGTGTCCTCTCCAGCAAATACGGCTGGCAGTGTAAAAGGAGTCACTGTATACAGGTTAATTTTGGTGTAAAAAGAGTATAACAAAAACATTATAAAATACAGTGCCCAACTGTTTTAATTTCTTTAGCCTTTATTAAAAATGGGAGTATATATTTGTGATGTTAAAGTCATCCATGTTCAGGAGGAACGAGCTTGTGGCTGAAAAGCACAGAGAGGGTCAGAAAGTATAAAGACAGACTAAAGCAATTGGATTTGGTCTTTTCATGGAGTTTGTTGACAAAGATATAGAATATTTCCATTTGTCCAAACACTTCCATGAGTTGGAAATAATGTGACGATCTTAGAGTCAGAAGTCAAAGTCAGTCCATGTTTCCAGCAAAAATGTCACGATTAGACCACACAGCAAGTGATCACCTATGATCAAATGATTTACACTGCTTTTCTGCTACTGCTAAAGACTCTCTCTCTCACACACACACACACACAGGGGCAAATAGGCTTTTCCTGAGTGGTCCACATCCCTGCAAATGCCAGTGCACAGACAGAAGTCTTCTTTGATATCGCTGCCCTCCCACTTAACCAGTGCTAACCTCTCAAACAAGGCTTGGTGGACTTTTAATTACTTTTTTGCGAGACAAGATAGAGTATAATGAAAATGTCAAACACATTATTTTCACCGCTGACTTCTCCCAGTCTGACACAATCAATAGCATCATCCCTCTGTATGAACATATTAATATCAGATTGTTTTAATGAAAATGAAGAGTGGCAGCTGGGTGGGTAGGCTAATCTGTTTAGATATCGATTCACGCCAAGGCTCATCCAGAATAATAAGGTCATGGTATCTGTGTTTCGTTTTTTGTTTTGTTTTGTTTTGTTTTGTTTTGTTTTGTTTTGTTTTGTTTTGTTTTGTTTTGTTTTGTTTTTTTTGTTTTTTTTGTTTTTTTTGTTTTGTTATATTTTAATTTATTTTATTTTATTTTATTTTATTTTATTTTGTTTTGTTTTGTTTTGTTTTGTTTTGTTTTGGTTTGTTTTGTTTTGGTTTGTTTTTTTTGTTTTGTTTTGTTTTGTTTTGTTATATTTTATTTTATTTTATTTTATTTTATTTTATTTTGTTTTGTTTTGTTTTGTTTTGTTTTGTGGGGAGGTTGTTGGTATTTGTTCAGTAAACAAGGAAACAACAATACATAACAACAACACATAAACTATTGTTGTGTGCCTGATGTCATTACTTGCAAACAGATGTTATTAAGTGATGCGTGATGGTAAAGCTTTTGCATGCTGTCATGTCTTATGAAATTCATGGTTGACAGAAATATGGGATGTAATTAAAAAATAATTACTACCATGAGACGTAGACATGAATTTATGAATTTATTGATTACTTTCACAATTAGAAATACTAATTCAAATAGATGAATAAATCATAAGTCTTGTCATTCTCTATCTGAAGCAATTAGCACATGCAAATCAATGATTTGTTTTATGTATAAGCTACTTTTAAGCTTAGCACGATGAAATTTAATTTCTACTTGTTGCTGCACATCCTCTTACAAGCAGTTCCTCTATCTTCCCATCTCTTTATTGCAGTGTGTTTGTGTGTGTGTGTGTGTGTGTGTGTGTGTGTGTGTGTGTGTGTGGGGGGGGGGGGGTTACTGCAGTTTTTTTTTTTTTTTTGTTGGCATTTATTGGTAGTGAACACATTTGGAGAAGGCGCAATTCTTTGAAACCAGAGACACATGATAGAGCACAGCACCCAGAGGGTTTTTTTTCAACGGCGATTGTTAATGCTCAGAGATGATGTGACCATATTGGCGTGTGTGTGTGTAATATCTCTGTTTTGACATGTGTCCTCTGTGTTCTGACAGATGCTATGTTACTGGTGGCAGACAGACTGGAGGGACCCTTCAACATTGAAACAGTTATAGAGCCAATTGACATCAAGATCTCTGAGGCTATCATGACCATGCAGGAGAACAGCATGCAAGTGTCAGCCAAGGTACTGTATCCTGAACTAGCTCTGTTCGCCATGCTTTGATAACTTTTGTTATTAAGAGTTATATATCTGTAATGAAAACATTTTTTATCTAAACTAATTATTGCAACAATTTTTTTAATCTATCTGATGATCATGATGTGGGTGAAAATATTACCATACTGTAGATGCATCGTAGGAAGCCTTGGATGGCCTGTAGAACACAGTGACAGGCTTCAATACACAACCCTGTCTCCTAAAAGTTATGTTTATATACTACCAATTTACAAAAACAACAAATAAATAACAAGAAAACATTTTCCCATGAATGTATCTGTCAAAAAACTACAATAACCAAAACTACAATCTATGCATAGCCTTATTCAAAGTGTTTAGGACCTAACCACACCTGGGATGCGGGATAGGAACCCTGGTATACGTGTTTGCATGTTTTGTTTCAACAAACCATTTAAAGATATAGATAGAGACAGTTAACGTGCAAGAGAAGCAGCTAATTTCCTCTTTAACCTTCTTCAGGATATTATCACACCCAGAACAGTATTTCTTGTCAAAAGGTAGAATTTTCAGTTCAACTTTTAATTCTGATCCTTTGGTGTATTCTGGCCTATCTTCAGAGACAGAGTTATAAAGGTCAGTGTGAATTAGAGGCCCCATTCTTTTCCATATCAAGAGGGCTGCAATTTACAACTTTACTCATTGTCTATGCACTTGATGCTCCCTTTCCCTGCAAGGTTGTGCTTGGCTGACAGATTGCTCTGAGATTACAATCTTTTCCCCACATTCACATTTTAACCATATGTCACCATTCCCCGGTCGCCATGCTATTGCAAAGCGCATCAGCACTGTACCTTCATTCCTGCAACACGCATCTGTTAAAAATCGGTTTGATTGTGTGATGTACAGGATAGTGGGATTGTAATCATTGTGAAGAAGTGATGAATATTAGAGGAAAGACAGCCTGGTGTCATGACAGTCATGTAGCACATTAGAGTGCTCCATCACATTCTGAGCCAGGGGCCAGCAGACATGCCAGGGAGGAATGCTAATGAGCTATGCTGTTTGGAGGTCTGTTGTTTGGGCCCTAAGAGCCTGTCGAGACCAAGCCATCTGAAAACAATCTATTCTCACAATGAACCTCTGTGAACTACACATTGATTAATGTAAGGTTCAAATAATAATAGATCTGCATTTCTATTTTCGTCTCTGTATAGCAACAGAGCTTTAGTTTGTAATTCAGTTTAATAATTCTCTTCATAAAAGTAAGTTTCTTTAAGAATGCAGTGTTCTCTGATATATTGATATCACTCAGTGGTGTAATACTCAATAAACTCAATTATATATATTTTTTATTATTCAGACAAAATTGCCATGGTTGCAAATCAAAATAACATTTTCTTATTAAACGTAAGAAAATATGTTATTTGCCATATTAAAAACAAATACTTTCCTCTGGTTTATACATAAGCTAAAAGCTTGGTTATATTATACTTTATGATTAAAAAAAATTGGTTGCAGTTTAGACTTAAAAAGGGTTTTAACTTAGAAATGCTGCTCAAACGCATTTCATTTTGAAGGTACCATGTTACGTTGTCACAATGACTTTCAACTGTAAGTGAGCAACAACATATCAAGGGTTAATTCTATTTTTTTTTTTTTTTTTTTTTTTTTTTTTTGGCTGCAAATATGACACTTCCTGCAGTATCAGAGTTGGGCACTGATAGACAGCATTGGTTCCAGGCTGGCCCAATATAGTTTTCTATCTCAAATCACAGAGCAGGAAAGAAGCTGTGAACAAATTGACAGGGGCCTTTCAAGGGAAAAAATGTCAGTGGTGTAGGCAAACCACAACTTTTGCGGGATCGAAATGGATGTGTATTCAACAAAGGAAAGACTTAGCCCGGGCTCAGTGCAGAGTTCATGCAGCTTCCTACTGCTGACAACCTGCTTTCTTTCTCTTTAGGAGTGCAATGAGAAGCTCACATCTTATGATGATAACAAATATTATGTTCCTCAAAATAGTGTAGATGCTGAGCACTTTTTAGACGCTGACCCGTCTGTATCCTCTCTCACTGTTTCCTTGTGTCTGCCGCCCTCTCTGTGTTCATTTTAGGTTTTTCAAGGATGTGGCCAACCAAAGCCATCAGGAATAGGCAGGTCTGCACGCGGCATCACAGATGTGTTTAATGCTCGCTTCAGACCCTACACCCCTGAGGAGAGGCCAACCACAGCAGCTGGAACAAGCCTGGATAGACTGGTATGTACATACGAAGGCCTCTGATGTTAATATAATGTTGGATTAGAATTTATTTTTTTTTTTAAATGGTTAACTAGAGAAAAAAAAATTAGATTCAAACTGAGGAGGCCATTTTGATTTGCATTTTGTTCAATGGCAAAATAATAGTGAAGTATTAATCATGAGGATATAAAATAGAAATATTTAAGCGAGAGAGATGAACTGAACAGAAAATAGATCTTGGGTCAGATCATTTGTTTGAGACAACCGGTGCATTCCTAAAATAACTCACTTTTGACATTCACTTTAAAGTTCAATTAAGCCGGAAGCAGCCAATGTGTGATAAATTTATTAAAGTCTGAATTCCACCAGCACAGGATGCTTAACGTTCTAACTTTCTCGCTCCATACTTTAACACCACAACTGATTTTCTGTAGAGGAGTGTGTTGAAATTTTTTCTTTTTTTTCTTTTAATATTACTGGTAGAGGCAGACCTGGAGGCGGCATACTGAGCTTAAGGTCGACTTACCAGGGCTCAAGTCCAAAGGCCAGAAAAAAATTGAGGGCCTCAAAGAAAAATATCATGATAAATCCATGCTTACATAGTCCATATTGAGCTCAGGTGCTGCACTGCAGTATTCAAGAGTTTTTTAATAAAATTTTAAAAAACTCGCCAAACATATTATTTAGCATGTTGTGTGCGTTTTCTCAGAAAATGATCCTAATCAGAAAAATCAGCAGTTCCAGTTATGTTGAGAGTCAGTCTTGAGGAGTCTAAAACTAATTCAGCATTAACTCACAGTATGATGAAAAATCCTAAGACATTAATTGTGGCTATAAAAAGATCTACTTCACCACCCCATGCCACTGAAACACACAGTGTAAGAGGCTGCCTATGTCAAGTTCCAGCACAGAGCAACACAGACGCCCTCAAGTTGACAAGACGTTACACCAGGTCCTGCAGACTGTGCTGCTTTACCCCTTTTGCTGACATGTTTTCTGCTGTGATGTCTCCAAGTGTTCACAGGAGCCTACTGTCATCATTATTATTATCACACATTTGAATTTGTTAAAAACAAACCTCTGTGTTTAAGCAGAGAGAAGGAGTTACAAACAGTTTGACGACCTGTGGTGTTATTCCACTGAAAAACGCACAATGTTGTCTTGACAAACCTTCGTAGAATTTCTCCTTTAATGATTGTGTAATGTTGAAGAGCAATAATGTTTTAAACAGATTACACTGACAGACATTTCAGTGGAAAACAGTACGTCAGGACACAGACTGGATATTATGAAACCATATTTTTTATGTTGTCAATTTATCTGGTGGCCAATCTATTTAACACATGCTTCTTTATGTAATCCTTGGACAACTGGCAAATGAAATCTTGTCCTTTTAAATGAAAGGTACAATGGATAATCCTCCGTTGTATAAATTGTTTGACAGGATTAAAATGGAAAATATGCAGAAGCAGACAAGTAGATTAAAGGCTGCAGAATATATTGTGTCTGTCTTTTTAAGTAGTCTGCACTCCAAAAAAATTCAAGCTGTAATTGTAAGAAATAAACATGTTAAGTGTACTACAAAGCCCCAGATCCTTTTAGCTGTTATTCTTGAATTCAGCATAACTTTACATATAGGTCTTGTTTTAAAAATCTAACCAAACCTTCCTCTTTGCTTCATAACATACACATCAAAAGGGATGTGAAAGGAGAAAAATTACCAAAAGGCAAAAGCACGTTTAGAGAAACTCCACAGGTTTCAAAATGGTTAATAATTCATCTTTACATGCTCTGAGGCCAATTTCTCATGAAAGATGAGAAAAAATTCTTCTAAGAAAAGTGAGTTGGGTCGCTCAGGGTAAAACTTCTTCCTCGCTTGATCACATCGCACTCATCTTACTCTGTATTTGCATCTCCTTGGGTAAATCTCTGAAGGAGTTTAGGTCCATAATGAAACATATCTGTGCTAGACAGAAAAGCATTAAGTAACTACGCGTATTTTTGCTAGGCCGAGATGACTGCTTTGGGTAAAATAAATACCATCATCAGGCCACTTCAGACTAATTCTCCTCATGACACTGCTGTTTGTATGCAGTTCCTGATCTTTGCATTGATCACATTTAAAAGCAGCAGATTTAAAACTGATTTCACAGTACACATTTCATTTTGAATAAAGTGGTTTGAGGTACGAAAGCTCATAGTGAGATGAAGCTGGTGGATGGAATATTTCAGTGGCACCATTTATCATTTAACTTTTTGCTTCACTAACTACTAACGACATTCTTTTGCTCCTATTCGCTCCCTCTCCCTCTCTCAGTCCCTCTATTTCTCTGATGTCCAATTAAATCTCTTTCTTCCTCATTTCTCTGCTGCTCCCAGAGGGTTGTCTGGAGGACAATGCAACACAGTGTAAGCCTTCAATTCCTCCTCTTATTTTCACCAAGTCATCTGTCTTGTGGTGTTTTAATCAACCTGCCTATAGAGCTCCACTTCTTTACATTATTCAAAGTTGATATTGATTGCTTGTTTGTGACATGGCTGTTTATTTACTTTGCTTAAATTATTTGGCTTTTGTTCTAGCCTGCGACCAAACTATAAGATGCTGAGGTCGATATTTGTAATGGTTTTCCTCCATTTCTTATTTGGCCTTACAGCAACAAAGTTGTGAGTTTGAATCTGTGCCATTGTTCCACCTGTTATAAGTATTTCATTTTCTCTTTGGGTTTCCTTCAGGTTTTTTTTTTTGTTTGTTTGTTTGTTTTTTTTCACCATTCAAACACATGCATCTGAGGTTGATTGGAGACTTTAAAGTGTTTTCTTGTTAGTTTTTTTTTTTTTCCAAGTGCTTGCTGAGATAAGCTTGTGAAACCAGCAGTGGCCAGAGTATGCTCTCCAGTTTTTCCTTGAGGTGCATGAAAGTTTCAGATTCCATGCATCATTGTAGACAAATTCTTTGAGCAACAACTGACTATCATTCAAAAGGAAGAAATGAAGGATTTTGATTTAATTATATATTTTTTTAAATCATTTTTACCGACAGTGAATATGTCTGGAATATGTCAGTGAAAATTGATTCAGTACTTTTTATATTGACGCTCTTCAGTAGGTGATCTCTCAAAAGTTAATCTGCAGTCAGTTTTTGGCAAAAGTGCAACATAAATTGTAGACTTGAAGACTTTAACTAGAAGGGCACTTAGAGAACACATACCTCCAGCAAGGCCAGTGTCAAACAACACACACAAGACTTCAGAGAAAATAATTCCAGATCTGCCCCAAACTTTAATGGGTTCTTCCCCGGTCCATGCCCCATCCCTCCACCGAGATCAGTGAAAATCGATTCAGTACTTTTTGTGTAATCCTACTGAAAAACAAACAAACAGACATGGGTGAAAGCATAATCTCCTTGGCAGAGGTAATAACACAAATTGCAATACACTGTTTACATCTCAGAGTGAGTAACAAGATGCTTGCCACAGCCTGTTCAAGGTCGAGATTTTATTCATTACATACATACACAATTATACATGTACACGTTGTAGTGAAATGTTTGGTACAGTAGCGTGCTTCTACTATGACTTGCAGTAATATTTATTTGCCTCTTCAAACCTTATACAAGGAAGGCGAGATTCATGTATTCAAAATCACAGGGTTAAAATTAGAGTGGTTTGTTCAATTTACTCTCACGCTCTTCATGTGATTAAGGTCTGATTCACTGAGGCAGTAGCAAATTACATAATCAGTGTCTGCGACCAACCTACACACACATTCTGTGAGTGAAGAAAAGGTCAAAAGGTTCAGTTCAGTGGAGGGATTCGTCTGAGATCAGCTAGTTTGGTAAAAAAAAACAAAAAAAAACCAACAACATTGAATGGCTTCAGGCACAGAAACAAGGAGCACGTTTTGGTAAATATGACTATGATTAGCATTGAGGGTTGAAGTTTATGAGTGACTGTAAAGCTCTCAGGCATAATTACTGCTTATACTCTTAAATCCATTTGTAGTATGTTTGAGTGTCGCTCTGTTTTTGGATGATTTGTGCTGATGTATCTTCAACCACCGAGTCTGTCTTCTGCATCTCAGATAAGATCTGAAGGTGATACAAGTGTTTACATACTGCCTAATCCACTTCCCTTTCCAGTTCACTGCTCAATGAGTTAAAGCTGAAAAAGGTCTGTTTTGATGGATTTATTATAACGAGTCCTGGAGCTCACTTATGTAAGAGCTTAAACACTGCCTTTTTGAGGATAAAGAACAACTCAGTCTATTCTTATGCCTCTGCAGCAGCCATGGCCGGAAGAACTGTGTTTTTGTCCAAACATCCCATTCTCATGAACACAATATCTCAGTAACACCTTGAGGAAATTTCTTCACATTTTGCCCAAACGCTCACTTGGACTCAAGGATGGACTGATTAGAATTTGGTGGTTAAAGGTCAAAGGTCAAAGGTCACTGTGATATCACAAAACAAATCTTTGGCCATAACTCAAGAATTTATATCCTAATTATGACATAATACAAAGTCTTGAATATATATTTTATATGAGTCTGGACAGACATAGATGTAAACTGCAACTTGATTGGTGGCGGATACTTACAGCCTCAAGGTTGTAATTGTAGTTATATTCTGCTTCGATTTCTGATTATCTTGGAGTATTTTGCTTTGTCCGTTTCCACCGTCTGTCTGCATAGCACTGATCAGAGGAAGCAGTCATGCTATATAAAAAAAGAGATTTTTTAATATATATAGTTTATTGTTTTCATTGTGACTTGTTTAAAAAATCATAAACCTGATGGCAGCACACAGAGACTGTGATGATTAATTTAAAAGGATGGCTTTTTGATGTCAGCTACAAACCCACTGCTAAATCTGAAAATGTTTAATTACTGTATTAGGAACTGACTGTCTCACTGCTTATCTCAGGATTCGTTGCAAGCCATCTTAGTGGCTGACGTTTGGACTTTTTCGCAACAGGTGGACACAGTTTGAATAAAAATGTGAGATGTTTTCCGTTGGAATCTGAATCGATTTGTTCATAAAAGTTCTTCAAATGCTCATATAAACTGGCCTCAGCAGTAGAAGTAGCTGCACTGAGTGACACATTTGAAACGACAGAGTTGAACCAGTCTTTTGTCTGTGGTTGAATGAAGATCACAAGAAATCATGAAGAAAGGGTCAGACCATGAGCCAACAACCACAGAGTTCCTCTATATGTCCTACTCACAGCATATACACACAACACATACAGTATACTCACATACGTTTTTCTCAGCTTTAAAAGTAATCTCTGTCTGTGACTCAGTAATTCACTTGGTGTGGGAAGTGTCGATGATTGGGGGCTGGAAATTCAACTGAAAAAGAATAGTTCTGAAGGAAAGGAAGGAAAAAGGAAAAAAACGTAAAGGTAACCAACATGAAATAGTTAATTTTTGGGACTGAGAAATAAGTTCAAAATTCAAAATTGTGAACTATGATTGGAAACTAGTTCATTTTAATCTGTGTGAACTGAACTTTGAACAGCTCCAGTGAAGTGTGAACTTTTTTTAAACTATTGGTCATAATAAGCTGCTGGCAGCAACAACCTCTGGGGTTGTTTTATGCGGGAGGACTGTCTAAATGAATGTGTTGAGTATACAGTATAGTATTTGAGCATATCCTCCACTGTGTGTTCAATATTCACATTTATATTCTGAGAGAGTTGAGAAGAAGTCCAAGCCTTGGGTGTACAACAACAACATTTATATTCTTCATTTATTTTGCCAGTGATGAGCAGATGTCTGATGACACAATTCTGACAGAAATGACTTTGCTCTCGTTCAGCTCAAACTAACATTGCTGACAGGACATCACTTTCAATTTCTCCATTACACAAATGCTCGCAGGAAAAATGTGATGGATGTTCCCAAGGGATTCCATTATTGATTTATTTGACCAATTTCTAAATATTTTGAGCCTCTCTAATGGGTTGTTTGTTGTTGAGCACTGTTGAAATGGGGATGCAGTTGGAAAGAAAGTAAATCAGTCATTAACAGTGGCCAGGCCTTTCTCCACGCTCCATTTCACGTTGTTTTAGCAGCGTGCCAAGGCCAGGAAACCTGGCAACAACCATTTTTCTTAGGGAGTAAAAAGTGTAAAATAAATGATCAATGTTTTTATTTCTTCAATCACAGTAATCCAGTCTTGATAGGCAGCACCAATGTATACTTTAGTGTGCAATTGTTATTGTAGCCACACTATACTGATAGGACTAAAGGGTTTTATGGTGCTTTAAGGAAACACACTGTGAATTTGAATGTATGAAAAGAGACCAAGGGCTGAACATCCTTCAGATTCTCAATGGGAGCAGAAATCACTATTCCCATATGAAAGTTTCTTCCTGCCAGAGTAATCAGTCATTGAGAAATCACTCCGCCCAGTGCACTTGCAGACACAAATGCCAATTATGACCAATGGTAACATGGCCAAATTAGTTAAATCCATGAGTCATGCCATAAAATGGATCCAGTTACAGCTCTAATGAAAATCTGGCATGTACTGCAAATCTGTTCTCTACAGTTTTTCTCTTTAATGGCCACAATTTCTGTGCAAATCAGCAGGCGAAGAAAGAACAAATGTTAAGGCCAGTTAATCGCACTGGCAAAGCTAAAGTCAGTATGCTTGGCATGCTGAGCTAATGTTTTAGCAGCAGTAACAGCCACAATGTGTGAGTGCAGTTGGGATTTCTAAACTCTTTTTTACATTGTAATGACAAAGATTTGGGTTAAAAAAAAATTATTGTATACATGGTGGTATCAGAACGTGACTCTATTTTTGAATAAGATGACCATCTTGGAAAAAGTTGGAAAGGTACAGACGATGCACTTAAGATACTTGTGATTAAGAGGGGTTATGTGTTGTGTAGGGCTGTCACGATGTCAGGTTGTCACTACACGATTATCGTGGCCAAAACAATTCATGATAATAATGTTAGCGTAATATGTATAGAAATTATATCATGTGATATCAATATTTCATTTTTTAAAAATATCACTGTTGTACAGTGCCGCAGGGAAGAGGTAGTGTCCCCCTGATTTCCTTGTCAAAAAGATAATGGGATTTTTACATGGGCTTTTGGATTATTGCAGAAAATAAACTCTGCAACAAAAAAAAGTTTATGATACTTACACATTTTGTTTGGCAGGACAATTTTCACAAATGAAGACCAATTTTACGACTTTTGAAACCGAAATACAATTACCAGAAGTCAAGAGCTAATGTTAGGCTGTAGATGAACTACACCACCGTCACATGACTTCATCGTCACCACCGCTTAACTTCCAACTTGTAGCTTGATTTGGCTCTTACCTCTTCCATAAAAGCTTTTCCCCTCACAAAGTTATTCTTTGCAAGAGCACAAGTATAAACACAGGAC